TCGACCCCACTTGCCCCAGATGTGGTCTCGCCCCTGAGACGCTCAGGCATCGTGCGTGGGAGTGCCAGTGCAATGACTCTCTTCCCGAGTGTACTGATTCAGCTGATCTTGTTGAGGCGGCGAAGACCGCCCTCGATTCAGATGCCAACGTGTGTTTTTGGCTTCGTGGCCTCATCCCTGCTTCCCTTGTCCCTATCCCTGCCCCTCCTGACGCTGTCGATACGCACGACGTCGAGTATCCAGCGAATGAAGGCGAAGGCCCACCCCCCGAGCGCGACACGCGCCACGGCGAGGAGGGAGCCCCGCCTGAGGTGCTGGGACGTCTTTGTGCGGGGGACGGGTCGGGTGGTGAGCATGCTAAGGACCCAAGGTTGCGTCGATGTGCCTGGGCGTGGGTCGAGGTTAACCCCGCATTGCCCCATGTCCAAGTGTACCGCCGTCGTAGTGCTGCCCTCGCTGGCCGCAGACAGACCAGCAACCGATCAGAATTGAAAGCATTTTTGGACTGTTTATTGCACGTGCGCGAAGATCTGACATTCCTGACAGATAGCGGTTACGTTGCGCGTGGTTGGCTTCGGCTCCAGGCCGGGTCCAAGCCTGGATCTAACCAGGACCTCTGGCACGCCATCTCGCTCGACCTCCGCTCCTGCCCCCTTCGCAGGATCGCCTTGATTAAAGTTGAGAGCCATGTGGATGCGGAAAGATTCCGCACGAGCGGCCTCCCCGAGCTATTCAGATTGGCCAACCAGGAGGCCGACAGAGTAGCCGGGTGGGAGGCTGCTCAGAATCAGGTTTCTCCAGAGACCGCCGGCAGCGTCCTTGGAGTGGACGCCGTCGCCGAGCAGGTCCGGGCTCGTCTCGCAGCCACCTTGATCGCGTCTGCCAGTCACGATTCCAGGGGGCAAAGAGAGCGGGCCAGGCCGCTCGAAGGAGTTCGGAAAGCGGCCTTGACTCGCCTCGAGAAAGCGGTCGCTTCTTCCGCCCATCGTCCTGGTCTCGTTTTCGAGGGGTCTCGGATTTCGTGTGCAGTGTGTCGCCAGAAGCTGGCTCGGAGCGGAGCTATCGAGTGGCTCGCGACCCCTTGCACCCCGATCGACCCTCGTGCTACCCCCTCTGCCTCATCCATTGGCCCCATTCGCATCGGCAACCAAGTGGTGCACAGCTCACACACGTGCCAGTTTTTTGAGCACGCTGACGGATGGGCATGCACCAGCTGTGGGGCCATCGGAGTGGACAGAGCTATCCGAGGCCTCGCCCAGGAATGCTCGCACCAGATTTCCTCCAAAGGGGAGGATAACTTGCGCAAGCTCCGCCGAGGCCTCCTCCCAGGTGCCTCCGCTCGCGCCAAGGCCTTCAACAGGAAGGCGCGCGAGGGGCATGGAGGGGTAGCTCACCTTCCTCCTCCTCCGCCTCCCCCCCCTCTCTGAGCTCATTGGAGCGCTCGGTGCAAAAATCCTCCTCCTCCTCCTCCTCCTCCTCCTCCTCCTCCTCCTCCTCCTCCTCCTCCTCCTCCTCCTCCTCCTCCTCCTCCTCCTCCCCCCTTGCGGCTGCGCGCCCAGGGGGAGCGAGAAGGAGCAGGCCCTCTCGGAAGGCGGCGGGGCTCCTCTCAGAGGGCCTTGGGCCTGCTGCGGAGCTCTCCGTGTCTTCGGGGCCAGGCTGCGAGAACTCCTCGAAGGCCGGGGGACTTCCGAGAGCCTTCCGAGAGGGCCCGTGCCCCCCCGGCGGCTCGCCGCCGAGGGAGCCCAGCTCTGGAGAGAGGCGAGCGCGAAAAAGGCGTTTCTGCGCCAGCGCGTGCCGTGCAGCGACTGTTCCACAGGCCTGGTACACCCTGCGAAATGCTCAAGAAATCATGGGTTAAGAAATTCATCGTCTCAGAACTTGGATAAAAACCCAACATTTCTATTGAAATCTTAGGATTCACATTGAAACGTGAAGAAAAATCGAGCCTCTGGCCGAAAACTTGAGTTTTCTTAAGCATCGCCCAAGGTGTACCCTCCGAACTCACCGCGGCTGGCGCCCCAGGCGGCCCGGGACCGGCCACACGCGCAGCTCTGCAGGCCGCCGCCGCTTGGCATCGCTCGGGCGTGTGCCTTCCTCCTTCGGCGAGGACCCTCGAGGAGAATCCTTGATCACTTGGCGAAAAAACCACGCAGGAAACCGAACAAAAACACAGGGAATGGACGTCCGAGCGATGACCAGGCCGAGGTCGCGGCTGTGCCTCCTGGGCGTGCCCTGCTTCGTCGGGGCCCACGTGAGGCTCACCTCGAAGACGACCCTGCTGACGGTCGCGGCGCCGAGACTGCTCCTCCGCTGGACACGGTGCGCGCACGTGGTCGGACCGGTGACGCCCCTGCTGCGTTCGTGACTGTTCCTGGAGCTCCCGATGAAGATCTCGTCGCAGGACAGTCGGCCTTGATTGGACAGGACACGCGAGAGGACACAAAAGACCCTTCCGAGGGCCACATCGCCACAGGAGTGTAAGGAGGCACGTGTCGCGAGGCACAGAACACAAGGGTACTCTTGAGCTGGCAGGGTCGACCTACTCATCCGGGCCGCCTGTGCTACTTGCCGGGCCTGGTGGTGCTGCTGACCGAAGTGCCGTGCACATCGGCGAAGGCATTCGCAAGGCGGCTAAGGTTATGGGGTCCTCGGTGCTAATTCACTCCCGTCGGAGTGGACGCACTGGGATCGAGGTTGCCCAGTGCTTCGGAGAGGCGCAACTCGCGGGACCGACTGCCTGCGAGAGTATACTTCTAGTGTGCCAAATCCGCACGGGCACAAACATAAACTTGTGAAGGGCCAGATGCACGCTCGGGAGATATTATCATGGCGCGGCGGATCAACGATGACCAGACCATGGCGGGAATGAGGCGGAGGTCGGTAGGACATCAGGGCAAAAGCTTCAGGCGCGCCTGGCTCCTTAAACTGCCCTGGCTCCCGCCCCTGCTCCGGATGCTCCTCCCAGCACGCCCTCGAACCCCTCCTGCCCCTCCTTCTCCCCCAGCTCCCGTCGACAAGCGGGGAAATCTGAGAGGGCTCGCGGTGCGCAAGAAAGGGAGGCGGGAGGCGGAGAAATTCCGACCCTCCACGCGAGCCGTCGCTTCCTCCAGGTGAGCAAAGGTCCTGCCCAGCGAACCGACTACGCAGGCAGAAGGAAGCAGGCAGAAGCATCAGGTAGGAATGCGCCCACCATGTCCTCAGGCTTATGACAAGTTTTCGCGGTCTCGCCCATTCGGGAATCCTACGGTCCCAGACACAGTAAGAGCTCGACCACAATAAATCTTTCACAAGATACCCAACCCTGAGACCCCAGGACGTCGATTGATTTTTGGTGTGGGAGCGTCACGATTCCCACTGCAAGCCATCGAAACCCAAGACACCCAGGCCACCCTGGAGGCAAGCAGGGTGCCTCTTGGCATGGGCTTCCACTGTAGCCCGAGAGGCCTCCGAGGTCGCCCTAAGAAGGCCAGGAAGACCCCCCAGAGGGCCCACGACGCCCGAGAGGGCACAACGGCCAGGACTCGTTACTCCGCGTGTCGCGGCGGCGGCCCCAGCGATGCGCCACGCCCTCCGAGCGGATCGCGTGCCGCTCCGCACCGCCGGGCCCAGGGGGCGAGCATCGGCTTGGGGAGGTGACGCCTGGGGGCGTGTCACTGCACCGACCTCGCAGACGTGCTACAGCGGACTTTTGCGCGTGGACTCCTGCCAACGCAAAACCCCGAACCGGCGAGCGAACAACGAAGTGAACGCCACGTGGATTTTGTTTGTAGTCTTCGCTCCCGGCTAAAACAAACATCCGCACGAGATCCGCTCCGAAATCCGGAGCGACATGCTCCAGGGCATTCCGGGCCCATTCCAGTGTTTGCCCAACGGAATCCGCTCTTCGATGTTGGCGCCATGAGACGTGGCCCGCGTGCCGCGCCGAAGCGTCCCCCGTCTCGCCCGACGCCCGCTGCTTGTCTTCCTCTGCTGGGCTGCGCGCACGTGCTCGCCGAGGGGCGCGCCGGCGCCTACAGTCAGACCGTGTAGCAAGGGCGCGCAAAAGGGATGCAAAGGGCTGGGAAGCCCATTCCGAAGCTTTTCGAGCGGGGCGCGGCCAACGAAATTGGCCGAGGATGGACCGAGGAGGCAATGCTGCAAGGGTACCCTGGGGAAGGTTGCCCGTCCTTACCGTGCGGGTTGAGTGTACCTGGCGGGATCGCGCCGTCGGCAGAGGTTGACGTGGCCTCTGATTCCCGACGGCCGTGTTTTCCAGACGGATTCCGACTGCCACTTCCCCCCGTGGGCTGCTTGGGGGTAAGCGTGTCGCGCCGAAGCCCCGATACGGCCGACAAGGCCCCAGTAGGAGGGCCCAACACGTCCCAGAGTGCCCTAGGACAGGGTCCGCCACGCAGCTCGAGGACGCCTGGAGACGGCCACAGACGCGCCCCAACGGCCCACAAGGCTAGACGATATCACAAAGGCAGCCCTAAGACAGCCCCTCCCTGGAGTTTCCCCAGTGGCCTCCCCAACGGTTAAGAGCACAAGAAGTCCACTAGCGTGGGCGCACTTGCACACGGCAGTTCACGGCACAGGCATTGGGGCAGGGGCCTGCAGTGCCTCGCCATGGACGTCTTCGATGAAAACGACGTGCGTTTCAAAGTATATCGCTTCGGCTCGTGCTCCTCCTCCTCCTCATCCTCCTCCGCTGGACGCTCAAGGAGCTTGCGCAACTTTCCCTTGTATCCTGATGATGCCAGGCGACTGCACGAGCGCAGAGGACAGAGAGCGCCGCGCAGCGCGAACCTGCACCTCCATCCTGCACCCCTCGGAGCCTGGTCTCACCACCCTCCTCCTCCTCCTCCTCCTCCTCCTCCTCCTCTCCTCCTCCTCCTCCCTCCTCCTCCCCCTCCCCCTCCTCCTCCTCCTCCTCCTCCTCCTCCTCCTCCTCCTCCTCCTCCTCCTCCTCCTCCTACTCCTCCTCCTGTGCTTGGTCCCACCACCCGCTCCCGCAGGGGAGCCTCCGAAGCAGCCTTGCCAGCGCGGTGTCGAGCGTCACCAGCGGCACCTGCGTCCACGCCCAGGTGGCCCCATCCCGAGTCAGCACCGGCACTCGACCCCAGCGACATCAAGCGGAGCCAGGTTGGGTGCGAATCCGTGAGGGGGCGACACATTGGGGGGGGGAGAAGGGTGCCCTTTTCTCGCCACTTTTGGGCCTTAAAGGGCCCCTTTGGGGGGCCCTGACAGGCACCTTTTCTGAAGCCCTGGCTGCCACTCCCATTTGGAGGGTTTCACCAAAAGCCTGAACCCAAAAACGTTTTCAACTCTTGGAGGCACACTTTTTACTTCCACCACCTTCCGCCGCCTTCCGCCAGCTTCCGCCGGCGGAGGCGGCCTCGTTCTACTTCCGCCGACCTTTCGCCGCCTTCCGCCGGCGGAGGCGGCCTCGTTCTACTTCCGCCGACCTTCCGCCGCCTCCTGCGGCGGAAGAAGTGACAACTCCTTCGATCCTCGAAGGCAAGGCCCTTTTCGCAACGCCCCATTTACCCAGACCCCCGACGTCGTGATTTTGTTCACAACGTCGACCCCCAGAGGTCTTGACCCCTTCCACGGGACCGGTTTTCCATCCCGAGCCGTTGCTTGACGGTCCCGAGGCCTGGTGAGGGCCCCTGGAGGCCGAACAGAACAAAAAACTTCCAGTCGTGTTTTTTTCACAACGCGAGGGGGTCTGTGACTACCTACCAGACCACCCCAACCCAACCCGAAGACCCGAATTTCGGGTTGGGGGGGGTATGGGCTCCATGTGTGTTTCTGTCGATGTTCCCGGACCCCCCCCCACTAGAAATCGAGGGTAACTCTGAGCCTTCGGGTTGGGTTGGGGTGGTTTGCTGGGTGGTGAGTCTGGGCCTCGCCCCCCATTGCGCGTCCTCCGGCCTGGACGGGGGGACGGGCTCCTCGGGAGCCCGCCCTGGGGACGGCTCCCGCCTGCACGGTTTCCCCCGGGGCCGTAGGCGACCCGAGGAGGAGGAGGAGGAGGAGGAGGAGGAGGAGGAGGAGGAGGAGGAGGAGGAGAAAGGAGGAGGAGGGAGGGGAGGGGAGGAATGGAGGATGGGAGAAGGGGGGAGGATGAAGGAGGAGGAGGAGGAGGAGGAGGAGGAGGAGGAGGAGGAGGAGGAGGGAGGAGGAGGAGGATGAGGAGGAGAGGAGGAGGAGGAGGGGAGGAGGAGGAGGAGGGAGGAGGAGGAGGAGGAGGAGGAGGAGGAGGAGGAGGAGAGGAGGAGGACGGTCGCCCAAGCCCTTCGGGGAAACCCTCCCCTCTCCCGCCCCGCGCGCCTGCCCCCCCGCGCTGCCGCTGCCGCTCCTCCGCCCCCCGTCCCGCTCCCACTGCCGCCGCTCGCCTCCGCTCCCGCCTGCCCCTCCTCCGCCTGCCCTCCTCCTCCTCCTCCTCCTCCTCCTCCCTCCTCCTCCTCCTCCTCCATCCTTCCCTCTTCCCCCTGCTCGGGTCGCCTGCGGCCCCGGCGGACGCCGTGCCCCCCCCCCCCGCGTGGCGCCCGCGCCCGCCCTCCCCCTCGGCCACCGCCGAACGACGACGATCCCAGCGATAACAACGATCACCACGACCACAACGACAACGACCACAACGACAACGATCACCACGACAACGATCACAACGATCACAAACGATAGCGATCACGACGATCACAGGGATCAACGACAACGATCAACGATCAATGCTTTTCTCCTGCTGTGCCCAGTGAAGGTACGTAACTCGGGATGAAAAAAGGCTCGCCGAAGACTGTGCCGACCCTCGGTGTGAACTCGCTGGCTAAGCTTGCTCGTCGTCATCGTTATAATCGTTATCGGTGTGAACGTTGTTGTCGTTGTCATCGTTGTCTCGACCACAAGAAGCCTTCCATAAGAAACCCAGGCCTGGGACCCCAGGACGTCCATGGATTATTTGTGGTATGGAAACGTCGTGCTGTCCATCGCATAACCAGCGAAACCCAGGGCACCCTGGAGGCAAGCGGCGTGTTGTTGTTGGCATGAGCTTCCACTGCACACGCAAGAGTGACCCTAAGCAAGAATGACCCTTCGTGCGCGGCCGATTGGGGGGTCCTTCGGGGACGCCACCAGGCGCGCAAGCCGCTACCGTCGCATCGCATTCGGCGATCGGGGGGCCCCAGTGGGCCCGCACCAAAGGTCACTCCAGCGAAAGGTCATTCTTACATCCAGTCGATCTCCCGACCTCCAGCGACTTGATGTGTTCGAGCAACCAACCCCAAAACTCCTCGAGCACGAAATCGTGCCGTGATCGCCTGGTGGCCTTGAAACGGCCTCCAAGCGTCAGAAACAGCAAAAGACCATCGGCGGCGAGCCAGGGGGGGGAAGTGAGACGGGGCGGGCCTTCTAAGAAGGCGCGGAGGTCCCCCGGTCTTCTGAGAATTTGTCTGTCTGAGCCTCCCCCGAAGAAACAGAGAACGTCTCAGAAGGTTGCGAGATCTGCCACTGCAGTCGGACCGAGGCCAGAAGAACGTCCCTCAAGAACATGAGACCCTCCGTCGGCCAAAGCACACAGACTATTCAAGGGCACCCTCTCAAGGATGCACAAGAACATCCAACATACCCCCGTCGACTGCACCTTCTCTCAAGCCGCTGCAGGTCCGGGCCATTCGCCCCCTCCCTCGAACCCGGCGGGCCCGTGCCCCTCTCCGAGCAGGGCCTGGCCTCCCATGGTGTTATGTCTGTGGCGGAGGCGCCCCACGAAAGCGCTCGAAGAGAGCAAGGATCCCCCACCTCGTCCTCGCCCGCCTCCTCCTCCCTCTCCCTCCTCCTGCTCCCGCTGCGGTCCCTCCCGCTCCGTCCTCCGCCCTCCTGCTGCGGGCGTCTGCCTCGCACCCCTCGGCCCTGTCTGCCCTCTCTGCTGCGGCCGAGGCCCTCCGGCCGCCTCCGCCTCCCTCGTCCTCCTCCCGTGTGGGCCCTGGGGCCTCCGAGGGGTGTCTGGATGTCCCGGAGAGGTGGCCAGGCCGTGCAGCACCGCCGCCCCCAGAAGCACGGAAGGCTGATCATCTGGCCTGACTGTGCGCACTTCCTCCTCCTCCTCCTCCTCCTCCTCCTCCTCCTCCTCCTCCGCCTCCTCCCCTGCCATTTCTCCGCCCCCTGCTTTCCGTGCTTGGGTCGCGGCTGCAGGTGTCCGAATGAGGTCGAGGCGACCCGCGAGGCTCATCTCAGGATGATCGCTGCTGCTGGACCCGTCCGCAGCCCAAAGACTGGTGGTGTACTCTGGATTCCTGTGCACTCGCTGTCGTCGCCTAGGCGGTAGCACCTTGTCCATCCTTCGGCCGTCTCCTCTGGAGGCGCCGCGATCACAGCCCCGTTCGAAGAAGGAAGAGCAGTGGAAGGGGGGGGGCAGTTGTGGCACAGGCCAGCTTCATGAGCCTCCCTGGCCTCACAAGATTCATAAGCCACGTAGACCTCCCTCCTCCTCCTCCTCCTCCTCCTCCTCCTCCCCCTCCTCCTCCTCCTCCTCCTCGTCCTCCTCCTCCTCCTCTCGGCGCCGCTCACCTCCTTCCCCGCCATCCTCTCTCGTCGTCGTCCTCCCCCTCCCCTCGTATAGGAAGGGCGCACGATAAGGATGCAAGAGCCTTGGATGGCCATGCCCACACTTTTGCGAGCGGGGCGCGGCTGGAAGCGGCCAAGGATGGGCCGGAGGGGAAGGAGGCAAGGGCAACCTTGAAGGAATTGCTCATCCTTGCTGTGCAGGCTGACTGCTGGCCTCTGCACCATCAAGGCCCCGCATGAACTGCTACTGAACGCCACCAGCCCTCTGGACCCAGGTGGCCTGACAAGGGCTCATCACCGCACCTCGTTGAGAGCCCCCCCCCCCCTCGCACGCTCGACCGCCCTCCCACCAGGAGCAGTGAGGCCAGCCCCGCCCGCCCATCCCCTGCCTGCCATAATAAAATGCGCGTGGCGGCGAAATCTGAGCGACAAGTGGGTGACTTTGGGTCGGTTGAGAATTATGTTCTCGAAATCTGTATACTCGTTAGAACTCGAATAGTTTCCCCAAACACCAGGATCTCACTCCCGCCCGCCAACTTGATCTCCGGTCAATCGGGTGGGTATCGGATACTACTATCAAAAAGCACTGGGGCCGTTGGAGGTCTCGAGGCACACCGCCATCACTTTGCACTGGCTTTCGAAAGGCATGGCGGGGATGTGGGCATATTTGCCCGCTGCGCGCTCGCCGACTAACCCTGAGAGGCAATTAAGAAAGCCCCCCCCACTCCGGCGAAAGTATAACGCTCCGGCACCCTGGAAGCGTTACCCTAGCACCTCGCAACCTGCTTTGAGCGCAGACGAGTCTGCCCGCCGAAACAAGCAAACCGCCTGAAACATTCTCGCAATCTGGCCTCCGTGTGGTTCTGAAGCAAGGCGTCGCCTGAGACATCCTCAGAAATTGCTCTGAACGCAGACGAGTCTGCTGTGGGGGAATCCTACAGATTCCCATTGGGATACCGCCCGAGCCAAAGCGCGGGAATTATCTATTGTTCTTTCTTTTGCGTGGTGCTAGAAATATCGTTCCGCGAAAACCGCCCCCAATTCGCCGGCCAAACGGGCCAAGGGCGTACTAAGATCTCCGGTAACTGGTTAACAATATTCTAGTTCGCGCGCGCGGGGCCGCCCCTGGGGGTCCCCGGACGAAAAGTACCCCGGGACACCCCCGGGACACCCCCGGGACACTCGGATCAGAGATGCCAGACCGGGCAATTTTTCGACACCCCTCACGAGGATCGTGGCCTCCGAGGGAAGGGGCGCAATCGACTACCCCCCCTCCTGACCCAAGAGGTCCCCAAGACTGCCCAAGAGGCCCCCGAGACGCCCAAAGAGCGCTCCAAGACGCCGATGATGACCCCAAGACGGCCCAAGAGGCCTCCAAGTGGCCTCCAAGAGGCCTCACAAGAGGGCTCGAGAGGCCAAAATCATCAATTGAACGATGGTTTTGGAAGGAGTTTGGCCTTGTCGCCTTTTCGGCCATCCGATGCTCCAAGACGGCCCAAAAGGCCCCCC